AAAACTACAGAAAAGAACATAATAACCTAACCACAATCAACATCAGAACACATAATCAAGCATTAGCAATATGGGAAAAACTCTAAGAACTAGAAGACCCCATATTCCAACAATTAATGCAAGAAGACATTACCAGAACACACAACTGGTGGCCAAAGAGCATAACATATGACAATACAGAACCAGAACCAATATGCACGAAATAAAAACGAAGAGACTCAAAGGACACGGAGGGCCCCCTCCCCAAACACCACAATCTACCTTAGCTTAGATTAGCTTGGCTTCTCTTCCCTTGCTGTAGTGGACATGAACTGCTGGCATGGCAGACTTAACCTCGTCCCCGCAATGTGGACAGCCCACCTGCTATCAACCTCCCTCATTAATTTCCCACTTCCTAACCTTTACCTTCCTCCTACACCGTCTTCCACCTTCCTGAGCCAATAGGCTCTCTCCTCTCCATCCCATCGGATCGAATCGAAGGTTATTCTACTCAACACTCTCAAACAGACAAGACCCCCTCTCAACAAGCTCCTCACCACACAGCAACTCCCGAGCACTGCATTGTATGTATGTGTATATATATATATATATATATATATATATATATATATATATATATATATATATATATATATATATATATATATATAAAACGCCAGTGGGTTTCCCTTCTCACCTCCATCCTTAGTGCGAGATCTCCTACATGTACAGTCACCCAAAAAAGTCCTGTCGCGAACCACGAACCCAGAGATTCAGACTCGTGAACCCGAAGCAGTACACACATACATTATTCTGTCCATAAATGCTTCGGATTCAAGAGTCTGAATCTCGGGGCTCATGGTTCGCGACAGGACTTTTTTGGGTGACTGTACGTATGTATGTGAGCCTAACAGAGAAATTTGACAACTGGCCTTATACCATACGCTATAACATAACAACTACTAATAGCTTGTTGCACGAGAAACACATTATCTTACATTTATAAATTAAGGCAAAAATAATCACGCTTCGAAAACTATATTAACCACTATTGGATCAACTCACTGGTTTAAATCCAAACAGTAAATAAATCGTCAAATGTTAATAATATCCCATTAGCACTCTTATTAATAACTAATGGGAGTCCTTTCCTATGCCAGTGGCATGCCCATCGGGGATTATAAATGTTTGCTGTGTGCTGATGACCTCCTACAGTAGAAGAGATCCAAAGGATGAAGCTGACGTGTTATATCCGAGTTGTAGTCAATGACGTAACAAATTACTGATAAACAACAAATTATCACTACAGTCGGGAGTACTGATACAATATTATTTGCTTCAAAAAGGCAATTTAAGAGTAAATGATGTTAAGGTAAAATAGCGAACACCTATCTCAACTGTCAGGTGTTTCTGGGATATCCTTCATGAAATCGACTTATTTTTTACCATTCTGTGTACCCGCATTGAGTATGTACACTTACGGACGAAATTCCCTAAACACTCGGCAATATCTGGCATTTACTTTTTGGTCATATTCCAAACCCCACTCACCTAATGATCCTCAAGTACTTACATGCCAGATACTGCCAAGTATCCAGGGAATTTTATCCGCACCTGTACAGTGTACACCTGCACTATGTACTGTATATTGTATACTTTTATTTTGTACACCTGTATTACTTATATATTTTTCTTTTTTATTTTTTAATTTATTTTTACTCTTATTGTTTCGCCCCCTAGGCCCCGTTGTGGGTCGATGACCTGTGCCCGGGTGGGCTATTCCCAGTATAAAAAAAAAAAATATTGTATACATACTGAATCAAATGTAACCTAAAATGACGATTTTGCAGAATATCTATCTATCCAGACTCTAAGTACATCATATCGGTCAGAAAGTTCCGCAAACAATAAGTGTGGCAGGTGGAGTGAAGCATGTTGAACTGAATCATATTTTAAGAACTGTCAAGGATTGCAACAACTTAACTAACCACATAAGTCTAGTAATATAATATAAAACAATTCAAATGAAAATTAATAAAGTAAATACATAACCGAAGAAACTACAGCAATTAGTTATTTTCTGCATCACTGACCAAGTATAGTTTAATAAAAACATTACCATTTATTTTTTTTAATTGTTATTGATTAGTCCCCTAGTACCAAAACGGACCCTAATGGGAATAAGCCTGTTGTCTTTTTTTTGTCAAATCTATGCACAACACATTGTTTTATGGGTGCTAACTATAGCGCATGATCCACAAAGATATACAGTATGTAGTCTAACCTAACTAACCTACAGTAACGTTAACTAACCTAACCTAAATATCTTGTAGTCCGCACGCTAAAGCAGCACTGCTTTATGCCTGCATTGCCTGTGTACATTGTATGCCGACAATTGCACAAGTTGAGCCTATGTGAATTTGTATAACAATTCAACTGAAGATCTACTTATCATAGATATGATGGGAAGAGAACGAAGCAAAGGAAGAGGACTTGTAGTCTTGTACCTCACTGTACTTGTCACCTCACATTTTTTTTTTCAGATATGCCCCGCGAGAGGGTAAGTTTATTGGACATCCCTTGCATCTTGTGCTAGGCGAAGCGCAAAAGCGTTCGCAGCAGATGTATTACAACGTGTAGAATGAATAATACTGTCATGATAGTAGCAGCGGCGGCGGTACTAGCTTTAGGCAGCTGTGGTGATACGTTTTGAACAGTCCAACCTATCCCAATGAAGTTTACACTAACTTGTCTAGCATAACCTGAAACCTAACAAAAACACTTTTGTAAATGTTTAAGCGTTTGTTTTGGCAGATAAATAAATAAACAAATGAAAATTATTGAGCAAATTTCAAAGTTTGTACAGTTAGTATATTTGAGCTATCCAAAACAGTTGTAATCATAGGAGCGGGGCGGCAACTGCGTCTAGCTCCAAGCGGGAGGTAAGTTAGCAGCGGTTGGTAGGGGTCATGGGGAGGAGAGGGAGAGAGAGGCGTCTGCCAGATCCCTGTCTTTCGCCGTCTTCCAGCACTTTTCGCTGCTCGATAGGAAATCTCTCGGTAAAAATTCATGAATAGGATGAGAATTCGAATGTTTAAATATAAAAGGTTGTTAAAAAACTTCGAATGAAATGAAATTTTAATATGTCCTGATGCAAGAACTAACATGGAACGCTTTGTTCAAACAACAGTAGCCAAGAGCGGCCCCACGTCAGCCGCTGTGGGAAGTGGTGCTAAATTCCCACTAGACCTGCTGGTTGAGCAAGGCTACAGTACACACCGATTACAGCCAACTCTTGACTGCTTTACAAGCTAAACTTCGTATATACCTTTGTAGTATATATGTATATATATATTAGTGTGGCAGTGGCACTGCATCTTGAGTAAAAATTACTGGACTCCTTTTACTTTTATCCTCTTCGCCACTGATCTTAGCCGCCTGGGCGATTGTTGGTTGTCTATTTAAAGACTTCGAGATATCTTTATACTTTTCATTACCTTCAGTTTGCCCCCTAAAAATAATATCGATATACAAATAAAAAGTTAATAAATAAATACCGACTGCAAGAGTTCATCTATTTTATTCTCAAGGTGAAGCACAAATGGAAGTTTACCCTACGATGGCTGGTAGTGAAGATTTGGTTGTAATACAAGCCAACCACGCACCCCGCAGGTAACATTACTTTTACTTTTATCATGTAGCATCTTTACACGTCTTAACTTACAGCTTTTTTATAATTCTTATCACATCAATATGTAGACATATATTTTCCCTAATATATACTGTATATTGTTGTAGCATGCGGTCTACCGAACTGGATGTATTCTACCGGTAAATTTACACTGTAGCGTCTATTAACCCAACCTAACCTAACCTAATCTAATGTATCTTAACCTAAACTAACCTAGCTTATGTTAGGTTAGTTTAATGGGTGCTAGTGTGACCGATCGCCCAAGCGGTTAACGAGCCAATCAGTGGTGAAGAGGATAAAAGTAAAAGGTAAAAGTAAAGAATTTCCCGGTTCGGTAGACCTCATTTTATAGGAGCACACACGCATATATATATATATATATATATATATATATATATATATATATATATATATATATATATAGAGAGAGAGAGAGAGAGAGAGTTATCACAAAACAATTCTTGTAATTGAGAGGAAAGTGCATCAAAAATTGGGTTGGCGAAATTATTCAAAATATAAAATGGATTTAAAACTTTGACATAAGTATTAGTGTACCAAACGTGGGAGAAATTGTCAAAATACTGCACCGATATAAGAAATATCAGTGTGATGAAGCACAACTTGTATGATCAAGTTACCAACGTTTCTTTCAATTATTCAGCTTAAACGTTTTTCACGTTTTTCTCTTACCTCTTTTGTAATATATTCAATTGAATTATAATGTTCTTTTCATTTTAAAATCATTTTGTAATATACAGGTATATTATTATTAATGTTGAATCATGAAACCAGACCAAAGAATTGTCAACAGTCATCGACCGCGCGCACCCTTGTATGCCTTCATGCCGTAAAATGAATTATCCCACAGATTTAACCATACTATAATACATAACTTCGCTTGTTCTAGTGGTATATATAAATTACCAGTGTATATTCTCTTTCATTTCATTTGTCTTTTCTATAAATGAAGATATATAATACAAATAAACTTTTGGCGGGAATTGCCGAGATCTTGTGGCGGGAAATTTGGTTTTCAAACTGCCACCCTCCGGGATTGATCAACAGAGATGCTCGCCATTTTGGCTTACACCATCGTCATTCAAAATTACAATTAAGTACTAAATCATTCAAAATAAGACCACATAACGCTATCACACCATCTTTAGGGTTTAAAGAGAGTTTACATGGGGAAGTGGATGCTTATCTTTAAGACAGGCAACAGGACATGAATTTAGAATGCGAGCTTGCTTGGCCGTATTTGGCGAGTTGCCGCTACTTTACCCTCTTCTGAGTATCGGGGGGGACAAATAAAAATAATTTTCCGTCTTACCTCAGCAGGTGACCCAACGTTATTCGCAGCTGGTGCAACGGCAGCGTCGTCCGACATATTGAAGGTGGTTTGGTTGCTTAACTGTCAGAAACTGGTGCGGAGGTGAATTTTGAAGTGTGGCTGGCCGGGGTCTGCCAAGCGGAGTGCGGCGGGTGGGCGAGGGTCACGTGACACCACCGCTGTTCCCGCCACCACACCCCCGCCCCCATCACCGCCATCCTCGCCACAACTCTCACTCACATCCTTGCACAACCTTTTTAAAGTATACATATGTACTACCCTAGGTGACAAGAAATCCAGCACACGGGAGAAACTCGCGCGATACCATAAACTATCGTTTAGTGAAAAAAGGGCCCAATAGAAGTAGTGACCTTGCACAGTGACCTTGTCAAAATTTGACGATACCTTATGTATGTAATATTAAATTGCTCGTCTTACTAACATCAAATACCGTAAGAAACGTGATGAGTGTTTACGGTTTTGTGACTGAATCAAATCATCGAAGCCAGTGCATTATGACCTCCCTCGTATATTATGATATTTTCAAACAAATCGTGAGCCTAATATTGCTTACTATTATGAGAGTGTACTTGGGAGTAACGTAATGTGCAAGAGACGATACAACATTCTCAATCAGCAATAGGCTCCGAACTATACTGTGTTTTTGACATGTGTGCACACATTCCTTACATCTCATAGTCATCTGTATACGGCACTAAGCGCTTCCATATATAATCAAATTTCGTATTCGTTTTACTAAAGCAAATTATAAGGGACTGCCGACGTAGTGCATAAACTTGAAAAATATCGACATGGCAACTTTGTCAGGATGGAGGAAATCCAGTGAAATCTATTTTGATAAACAACACATACATCCTAGACTGGACTACAAACTTTTTTTTTTACAATATAATCCATTTTCCTCCCTCATCGTGTAAGTATTGAACTAAATCCATCTACACTTTCCAAAATATAATTATTCAAAGACGTCGAGAAAAGGCTCCGTGATATTATGGTATGTTTGGTAACAGACAGTTGCTGGGCCTCATTCGGCATTGTTGTATATTTTTCATATAAACAGTGTCTATATTGATTAGTACTTAGGAGTCAGCATTTCGATACGAAATACACTACAGGAAGATAACATAACAACATGTATAAAGGTCCCAATAGGACCATGCTCTTAAAAACGATATAAAATCTTATCAAATAGAAGTCATGTTATCTTTATTCATTCACTGGAGTGGCTACATTCGTGGTCGTGGTGCCCCATATAACTGGCGTGTCTATGTGGCCAATATTGTCTGCATTGACCACCCTCTCAATCTCTATACATAGTATCTCTACCCTGGTTAAAACGTCCACTACACGTAAGCCAATGTGGCAACTGTCTCCACTCAGTTTCTACTATGTAATCTCAGCGTAGTTCATCCTGTAGCCTCCATAACTTTTTGAAAATAATGTAACATGAAGAAATGGAAAACAATGAAGGTCTCCCTAAACCGACAATGAGACAAATGAGTAGTGACCCTGCCACCCCTTGGATACAACGGACGCCTCCACTATCTCCCGCTTATTTAATCCTATGTGAAATTGTGTTTTGAGCAACTACACTGTGTATATGGATAACACAAGAGTTCATGTCATTTCCTTTTATTATACCATATGATAATTTATATCAACAAAATTAAATATATGAGGGGCTAAGAAAGCGCGGTTGGAGCGGTCAGCATTTATGCAGTTCACTAAAGAGAGGTCAGTGCGGCAGGGCCAGCCAGTATTGCCATACGATTTGCATCCTGATTTTTGCTCCAGGAATGTCGTCCAACTGGTAGATTTGTTGGCATGAGCAAGGCATTAGTGATGTTGCTCGGCCAAACACAACCAAAATAAGAGGCTTCTGTGAGTTTAGTAATGCACTGATATTCTCCACCTCTACCAACAACCACAAGAACAGTACAAACGCCTCCAACTGACGTCGCATTCACAATGGATTTACGTGCATTTTTCAAAATGCAAATACGTGCATAAAGAAAGGATATCAAGAGTGCATTCGAAAATAGTTATTTGGTCCGTGAAAAACATCCTGAACTGTATTGAAGGGCAGAGATGTTTTATATGTAAGGAGGTTCTTGTGCAATATTGTAAGACATCACTTTACGCAGCACCAGGGAAGTGGGGGAGGGCGCCATCCCCCAATCCTTCCTCCCAGTCTGCCTACTATACTCACCCCCTGTTACACCCCCCTCCCAAGGCACTCCTCTCTGTCCTTACTGCCATCCTACTGTCATTTCCCATTTTCTCTATTTATTTTCATATACCATATTTCTGCATATTTTCTCTCGCATCTCTTTTCCCATCTCCCTGTTTCTCTTTCATTCTCATTTTCACTTCCAAGAGGCAGGGAGGGTAGAGGCAAGCAGTACAGTGCGTGTTGTGGTGAGGCTGGGTGAGGCAACATGGTCGGTTGGTGTCACTGTCAGGGATGTGTACATTAAATGCACTCTGATCGATACCACTTATCCTTGGTTCGAATCCGGATCTTCCAGGATTCACGTTATTGTTTTCCCTGACCAAGGAAGAGAAGTGTAGTTTTGGGGGGCATATGGGCAAGTGCCCCCCCCCCCCAATATATTGACCCCTCCAAACATATCAGTGCCCCCCAAAAATGATTTTTCTAGATCCGCCACTGCTTGGGACTTTGGGACTAAGTTAATAATAACCACATATGCTTGGTACAAGTCCGCATTCTTGAAGATAATTCGTAGGTAATATACTCGCAATTGAGGATGAGAGAACGCATCTAGGCAGTGTTAATAGCCAAAGCGGCTAACGAGCCGATCAGTGGCGAAGAGGATAAAGGTAAAGCAAACCCGTGTTAGGATTCACAAAGGTTCATAAATTGATTTTTATCGTAAATTAAGTAAGAACACATTCAGGCGTATTTCGAAGTGAAGCCCAAAAATAACATCTAAACTGTTTCAAAATTTAAATCTACCTTTCCTAGACACGTCCACTCGGTTACAGATAAAAAAATTATCCCTCTTTATGAATCTCCATCCTAGAGCTCGGATTCTCCAAGTATTGCTGTACCGAGGAAGATATAATTCATCTAGTCACGAGCGAGTACAGTTCACACGTCTAATTTATGGCCACCATCTTTATACTGTAGATTGATTTAACCGAACCTGTTAAATAAGCTCTCACATTTCAAATAAAGTACAGTATTGTGTACCTTTCAGAATCCTTGCGGTGCACTTAGGCGCTGTTACCAAGAATGTTTTAGACGGTCTAAAACATTCTTGGTAACAGTCATCCTTTTTTTTTGTCGGATTCTTTTGTATTTTCCTGCACGTCATAATTTATTGAAGCACTGCTATACATTTGCTGCGCCCTGCATATTACCTGTAAGCACACAGGTTTTACACCCACATAAGTGAAGAAATATTTAGAAGTTTATTTTTTTATTGAATATTGTACTCTATTCAAAATCCATATTCCTTTTCTTTGATACACATACACTCATTATCGAATTAACACATGCAGGTTGTGAGTGCTATTGTGCAGTACTGTACACATGAACTGTCCATGTGCACTGTGTACCTGCACGGTTTATGTACATCTTTTTATGCCTGCATTGCATTTGTCCATCGTATAATGCACCTTCTTTGTACACACAAACAAATAATCCTACCTGCCCACCTGGGTCAGATGTGTTTGGAAATGAACACAATGTACATCGGTTTCAGTTAGATTATCAAGGATTCTTAAATAGTTCACAAATAGTTCACCGGAATTGCTCGCCCATTGTGTCATATTGTATCAACGAGAAAAGGGGTAGATGGTATTTTGTGTGTACAGATGTGGAAAAAATTTCCTGATAATTTGTCGGTACATATCTAGCATTTTATATTAAACTTGAGGATCATTAGGTGAGGGGGATTGAAATTTTAACTTTTCTCAGATTTGTCTTTGAATTAAGGATTTTTTTTTTCATTTTAAACCAATAATATGACTGTCAAGTGTTCGGGGAATTCTGTCAGCAACTGTACATGATAAACCAAAAGGAAATAGTATGAAGATTATACCTTACAGAATAAATATCAATCGGCCTGTAATAACCAGAATAACAGGAAACCTGACCCGGAATTTCAGCTGGTGAAACTAATAATAATCGATCAAACTACCATACTCATACAGTATCAGAAGGGAGACGACCAGTCATTCACTTGAAACGTTTACGGGCTGTTTTTACGAGTCCTCCGAGAATTTGCATAACTTTGAGGACCCGGTGTTTAATTAAATTCATCAAACTCCGCCCCTACTTTTCCCTGTCCCTCCTACCCTTAACTTTGCTTATTAATATTTCTGTTATTATCCCCTCATCCTAAAGAGTAATAATGCTGCACTAATTACCTTAATGATGACAAAACAATAAAAATTCAGTAATAATTAGTATCGAGTTGATTTACTACCACTCGCTACAATTACTAATAATACAGTAATAATAATAACAACAGAAAACAATACTTGTACTACCACTACTACTTTTTTTTCGTGGCCTCCAGCCTCCCCCAATAGCCACACCTTCGCTGCCATTTTATTACCTTAATATTAAATATCCTAATACATAAGTAGCTATCCTAGCTGTGTTGAGTTAGTTGAGCCGCAGATCTATGCGGCATTCAGTGACTGTAGCCTCATAGTCAATATCTGCAACTGTTGTCGGCTTTGGGGCCGAAGCTCTCGTTCCCCTGAGGCAGAGCAAAGCCGACCGAAGGAGAGAGGACAGTCGACATCTCATCCAGGCTGTAACATAACTTCTGGGCTGCTGCTTCTGTTCGGATACCACCTCTGCGAGTCTGGCGTAGAAGCATCTTGCACTTGGTTCCATCCCACCAGAGGTTGTGAAAACTAGAGGAGTGAAGCTGCCTTGATCAATGTTCTGAATTCTCTCCCCGTATGCCCTTATCTTGTTGTTCTTATTCCTCCTGTGTGCAGCATTGATAGCCAAGTTACGGTGACATGCAGCCATGGGATAAAAAATCCTGATGTCGAAGAAGGCTGCGTCCAGAATCCTCGAGCACTGACATCAACATGGGCTTCGTTGGATGTGTTTGAAGTCCTATGTTGGAAAATCTCACCGTCCAATGGAAGGAGGGTCGGTTCTACCCTGATTTCCT